TGTAGCTGCTTCCGTCACTCGCGCGCACTGCCGTGCGCTGTGATACGTTCTGCGTTCTTGACTAATTTCAACTTAACTGTCGGCAAGTTTATTTCAGGTTTGGATTATCAAAGACACAAACCAAATTCAGTAAAAAAAAGGGTTGCATTCCTATAAACTCCAAATAAAAGTGGTGTTTAAGGAGAGTTTAACGAAAACTGTTTCTATGGTAAACTCCGAGTTTAAGAGCAAATTTCAGCGTTAAACTCCAAAATGGCCCATAAACTCGAGTTAATGGCTCAACGTAAACATAGTATAAGACATCAAAGTACCGACAAGTATGACTCAAACTTTCAGAAAACGCAGCAAATATTTTCTGAGCTGATGCAAATCGTATATCGTCACCTGAGTGGAAGATCGACCTATCTCGGCAGCCAGTTCAAAAATGCCCTATGTCAGAAAACTTTTCAATAACGCCCTACTTCAGAATTTGGTTGAAGAACGCGCTATCTCAGAATTTGATTGAAGAACGCCCTATCTCTGAATTTGGTTAGAAAACGCCCTATCTCAGCTGAAAATGTATTAAAAATATGTTGAGATAGGGGTTTTTAGAACAGGTTAAAGATCGTTACCGAGGTTATCAACTCCGTTATATGCAGTTAGTGTTAACCAAACATTGAGAAACTAGCACTTAAACTACCAGCCAAACAAGAGGAGTCCTATCAATTTTGATATGAAAAGCACAAAACCGGCAACACTGAATGGAATGAAGAGTTAGTTAAGAGCATCTAAACGAAAAAGCTATACGCAGAAAGCACTCAAATGAGCTTTTTTAATTAATGAATCACAAATGAGTAATTTTGATATGTATGTATGTATGTACTACACTATACATATTTACACTCGCAAACATAAATAAATATATGTACATATGTAAATATACCATTCTGCATTATCACGCAATTATGGCATATGAAAAAATTTATGAAGGCCATGAAAAGTCATTAATAAAAGTTGGAAGGTGTCATTAGACGGCCTAATGAAGTAATTAGAAGATAGCGAAAAAATTAATGCAGATACATATCGCACACGATTTTCAAAAGTGACACAACTCAAAATTATACGCGTGTCAGAAAAAGCGAAAAACTATTTCTTACGACATGTTAATCATATGGCAAGGAAGACCCTACTTTAGGTTTTTTCAACAAATTATAACAAATATTCGCTTCAGCTTTTACTGAAGAGCAAATAAAAGCTCTGCGCACATTTTAAGCGCATAATTTCAAAAATGCCAAATTTTGAATTGTGTCACTTTTGAAGATCGTGTGCGATATTTACACGTACTTATTTACAGAAGCAAACATTTGTGTATATGGTTTCACTCAAACGTTTGTTAAATCATAAATCATAAATCTGTGCAATATTAAGGTTGCTTGCCTTTAGAATTTTTTGCTCACATTTTATCGGTAAACATATTTGGTGAAGTGAGTAGTGGCGGAAATACATACATACATATCGAACACGATCTTCAAAAGTGACACAACTCTAAACTACAGGCTTGTCAGAAAATGCAGAAAACTATTTCGTAGCACATGCTAATTATATGGGCAAGGGTTTAGGTTTTTTCAACAATTTATAACACAAAAATTTGCTCCAGCTTTTGCTGAAAGGTAAATAAATAAATGCTCTGTGTACGTTTTTAGTGCATAATTCCAAAAATGTCAAATTTTGAACCGAAAAAACTATCACTTCTACCTCCGATGTTTGTAATTTTTTGTTGTTTTCCCCCAATATCAATTAAAACACTTGTGACTCTTTTGAAGACGATGTGCGATATATTAAATAGGTTTTTCATTTATTAATTGCTTTCTTCATTTCATTTAAGAACTATTCAGAAAACTTACGTAAGTCAAACCTTAACAGTTTTGAAAGCTACATGCAAGGAAAAAGTTGCTTAAGCTTTCTGGACTATTATGGTTTTCGAACTTAAGAATTCTTAGCTTTTGGAGTTCTCAGCTGTTAATTATTCATAAAATATCTAATGCTACTATCCACGAAAATATCGCATATCATACATACACTCCGATTAGGGTGATTGACGCGGTTTTTTCACAACCTGAAAAAAGCAACAATAAGTTTTCATTAAAAACGGCCTCAAGCTCATAAAAATTGTTGAATATAATTGTTATAAGGCCATAAAAATAACAAAAACAAATAGTTTAATAAAAATTTAAAAATTAAAAAAAATAAATAAATAAAGTTATTTCACCCTCAAAATTAAAACTAATTTTTATTAAACTTTTGTCGAAAAGACACCAACTATAGGTATTGTCTGTTAAATGATTAAGCGATTTAAATCGAAAATGGCCAAACTCGACTTAAGTTGTTTTTTTTTTAATATTTACAGATATGAACGCAAGCTTTTAACTGAACCGATTTCTTTGAATACATATTTGCTTTAACATTTAAAAATTGATCGCCACCAAAATGAATCATTCTTTATCATTAGGTTCTAATTTTGTAGTACGACTGTAGAAAACTATGCTGATATTGTAATGCTGTTTTTCATTAATTATGATTTTTGCACAGAATGTCTGATAATGACCAAACAAAATATTTCTAATTAAAACCTTAAAAAAAAAACAATTACAAATATGAGTAAGAAAGTAGGACTGTTGGAGGCTAGTTAATGGGTGAGGCAAAAAATAAAATAATATTTTGGATAACATGCATAGAAGGTTGCATCAGCTTTAAGTATTTGCTTGGAATGGGCAAAGCAAAGCATCGCTTCCTTACTGGCCGTCTCCACAGGATAATGTTTATATCTTGATACATGTCGCACAAGATCTTCAAAAGCGATACAACTCAAAATTTGGCGTTTTTTAAATTATGCACTAAAAACGTGCGCAGAGCTTTTTTTACCTTTTAGCGAAAGCTGGAGCAAGTTTTTGTTATAATTTGTTGAAATAACCTTGGGTAAAGTCTTCGTTGTCCATATGATTGGCATGTGCTAAGAAATAGTTTTTCGTAGTCTCGGACGAACGTCTAATTTTGAGTTGTGTCACTTTTGAAGATCGTGTGCGATATTTCAGAATATAATTTGCCAATGGAGACCGCTCATTGCTCACCAAGAGCAATATATATCAGAGCTTACAATGGCAATCAAAAGTGAGTGCATAGAGTTTTTTCTTTAATATTTGCAATATTTTTCAAGTTAAAGTTTTATTGTTATTTTTTTATAAAAATATGGTTCATGCTTTAATTAAAACCACATAAGTCAAACTTTCAAACGTTATACAGAACTTACTAATTTTTCTAATTTTTGCTTGAAAAATATTGCAAATATTAAACAAAACAAAACACATTTTATTTGTAAGCGGAAAATATACGGTATATGCGACAACATCGAAACTTGCACCGAGCGCGGTTTTCATTGCGTGCAAGAATCGAGTTTCTACTGTAGTTGATGTAGTGACCCTCGTTTTACCATTCCATCTGTGTACATTAAAGTAGTAAGTAGTAAAAAATAAGGTCGGATTTTTAATGCCGCCACCCCCTAGGATTGTTATATACCGAAAAAAAATATACCCATATTTTTTTATTTTGAAATAAAAAATAATTTAGGTAGTGCTCAAAGCGCTCAAAGTTCTCCATGTATTTTATATGGAGAAAAAACATCTTTTTGTAGAAATAGTGTAAAATTCTTGAAAATCAATTTTTTTCGATCGGAAAACTTTACTTATCCCAGTAATAATACTCGATTGTTTCTTTAACAATTTTTTCATGGTAACTATATTTTATAGGTCCTCCAAAGCCCTTAGAAAATGCAACGGGGGGACCAATAAAAAATCTGTAATCATAAAAAATGGTTAAATAAACAATTGGATATTAATACTGGAAGTCTCCTGAAGGGAACCACAGTTTTCCGGTCGAAAAATATTGATTTTCAAGAGTTTTATACCATTTCTACGAAAAATAGATTTTTCTCCATATAAAATACATGGAAATCTTTGAGCGCTTTGAGCACTCCCTAAATATTTTTTGATTTCAAAATAAAAAAGGGGTATATTTGTTATCGATATAGATCAATCCTAGGGTGTGCCGGCATTAAAACTCCGACTTTATTTTTTTGGACCACTCTAGTGTACATATGTATGTAGATATCTTTATCATACCTTTTTATCTTTTTGTAATATTTCAAAACAAAAAATCAAGATTGCCTCCTCTTATCTCAGCCAAAGATGTAATTAGGCAACATGTGTAAAATTAACTTACAAATTACTAGACGAAAAAAAATCGAGGAAATAGTTTCGTAATTTTAACAAGGTCAAAGTTGTTAACGCAACAAGTCAAACCAAATACACCAACTAGTCTTCGTTTCCATCTGCTTCAAAAAAGCTGACAGGGACTCAAAGGGTAGAACGGCTTTCAAGCCTGGGAAAAAGTACTAAAAGCCTCTTCAAAGTTTACACCGCGAGTTTCATGAATTTCGCTTATACTAGGTTTATTTTCAGCAATTAAGAAGTTAGGTCCTGATTCTCCTCTAAATAGCTACTACAGAAGTTTTTGGAAATTAGCCGCAGTCTGACAACAGAGATTTCACACGAGAATCGGGATCTATTATTTCCTAGACCTTTAAATACCATCTGCATATAAAATTCTATATATTAATATTTTCCACGGGTGTACGCTAGGCTGACTTCTAACCCATTTGTTTGAGAGTATGGCCAAAGTGACCTCTACAAAATTTTTGATCTAAGGATATGAAACGATATTTTTGTGGTCCAGCGAGGATCTTACCATTCTAAATACGAGATAAATTAACGATTTCTTGTAGTTTCAAGAACAGATCTTACAAATGTACTAGTTGAAAAGCTTTGAAAAATGAAAGCTTTGGCGAAAGCTCTGAACAAATTTCGATTAATGTAATTTTTCAAAAAAATTTAATATAGAGTTCACTACTTTCTCGCGACATATGTATGCAGGCCTCTAAATCAGATCCGCAATAATTACCGAAACACACTTTTACAACTTTTGTCTTTTATTTTGTTTTAAGTAAGTACCAAAGTCATTCCAACGTCCATGCATTTTTTTACAATGATACACTTCTTTCTTTTACTTAATGCAAATTAAAGTTAGTTTTCAATAAATATATCTACGTTTTAACTTCATTTATAGAATTAAATAAATCGAGTATGTATATGAATATATAAGTATATATGTATATATATCTAATTACAATAAAACAATTATTCGATTTACATGGAGGTACACGTGACATTGCGTAACAGCATTCAATGAAAGCTACATATGCACTTAAGCCGACGAAACTTAGTTACTAAAGTTGATTGTGTTTTTTATAAAACTTTAATTGCAATAAATTAAAAATATTTAATAATAATAAAATCGTTTGCCATTAATAAAATAAAAGCTGCACACTTGAAAGCTTACACGCCGCGACTAAAAAAAGTTTTAAAGCCTCTCAAATATTACCAAAAAAAAAACTTAATAGCTAAATCTTCGTTTACGATTTTGGTAGTGAATTGCCAGTATGACGGTCAAAAGCAGAATAAGAAACTGTAAATATTACAAATACAAAAATATGTATAAGTTGATTAAAACTAAAATTCTAACATCACAAAAGCTTTCGCACTCACATCAAAGCCCAATAGACCATATTCATAGTAGGTGGTTAAGATTGCCTCATCAACGAAAGCTTCCTCCACTTTCGGCAGACAACCAGTTAGATGGAGATTCAAAGGATTGATGCAGTTGCCATCGTTGCAACAGCTTGCCGGTGGTGCGCGCGCAATGCGTATGTAGTCTTCAGCTGAGTTGAGACCACAACAGGCGTACTTTTGAGTGCGAAGCAAAAAACATTACAATGTAATTTCCAATTCTGTATTTAATTTGACTCAAAATACAATACTTAATCAACACTTACCACCATCTGTACGGTGTCCATGGAGCCCGGCTGCATCAACTCCTTACGCCATTGCGCCTCTACACCCTCCATAGCGTAACGTTTGAAGACATCACGCGAACTCAGGCAAATGAAAACAACAATGAGGACAAGTAGTACAAGCAGACAAATAGCATACTGAAAAAAAGAGGAATTTGAAAATTAATTTTATTTTTCTTTTCAGAAAATTATTTTAAATAAAATTAGTCACCGTCCATAGTAGCCGCGTCGATTCGCGTATTGTGCCAAAGCAGCCGAAAAAGGATATAAGCAAAATGACACCACCCAAACAAATTATGCCGACGGCATAACTCTGTGGCATTGCACCCCAACCGAGGCCACCTAAAAGTATCACCAAGATACCCAGGATCTGGAAATAGTAAAAATTTTTTTGATTAATTTTGAATTTGATTTCATTAGCACGTTTAAAACAAGGATCATAATGAAGGTATGATTTCATACAGACATAGTCAACTGTCTTCGCTATTCAATAATTCTTTCAGAAAAAATTTTGTAGAGGAAACATTGGAGCAGATCTTGCATATAGACATAGGTATGTGTATTATGGCAATGTAATATTCACAAGTTGAAATAAATCAATCATAAAATTTAAAACAAAACCAAAAATAATTGAAAATAATCAAATAATTATATTAATATGCAACTAAAAAAAATCAAAAATAATTTAAAATAATTAAATAATTATATTAACCATTTATGTAATTAAAAACATCAAAAATAATTCAAAGTAATCAAAAAATAATAAATTAGTCATTTAATAAAAATTATTTTTTTTTTTTGAAGGTAATTAATTATTACTTATTAAAAAGATGCAAATAATGGCCCAAAAAAAACATGCTTTAATTATTAGTCATTGTGATTATTAATCATTATCTAACAGGTCTGCTTTGAATACACCCAAACTTATTTAGCAAAGTGTTATTTCTTTTGTATTCACAAAGCACTCTCAGCATCTTAAATAGTTAATAGGCCTTTGGCTTTGATGCTTGATGTATAGAATTATTCATAATTAGATTCCTAGTAAAATAGATGATGTGACAGCTTTCTATAAATTTGAATTCGAATTTTTTTTTGCTAACGTACGAAGTCATTAACTAATGATTCCTGGAAAATTTCAAACAACAAAAGTATGTTTGCGAGTTGCTGGTTGCATGAACTGAAAATACGCCTCCGCATTTGAAACGCGGATTTACATATGTGGGTACATTAGGATGCATCACCGAAAAAATATGTACGTTAAAATATTAAAAAAAAGTTAAGATTCACGTGACTGATAGACTGATTTGAAAATACCTCCCAAACTCGCATTTTTTTGATTCCGCTGATAAAATTTTTAAACATTTTATACAGATCTTTTAAACTTAAATTCTGTTATCGTGTGATTTGATATTTTAGAAAAAATATTTTTAAAAACTAATCTTATTTATAAAAAACTCGATTTTCGGTGGTACATATTTTTAAATAAGTTCAGCTCAAGTAAATTTCAGTATTTTTCCGAAATATTTAGGCGGAAGTCTTAAAATAGTATAATAAATTGTATATTTCCGATGAAAAAACAGTACCGATTTTTTTATCTTGAGTGTTGCACCCTAATGTACAAACAGTGCCGGAAGGTAAACCTACATATGTATATGATTTATATATTAATGAGCGCATGTGGATACAATAGACCGTGTCAGAAAAAAAGTAGCCGTACAACACTGAGTCTAAAGTATTCCTGCAACGCAATTTGGCGAAAAAAAAAAATATTTTTTTGGCCGAACGTAAGGGTCTTCCTTTAAGATTTTACGTCATATCTTCGGCATTTACGCTCGCGTCGTAAAATATGATATATGTATGTACGTACATAGATATAAATTTTTTTCTCGAGGAGACAAAATCTGTCTGCCAAAGTTCATTGATCTCAAATACGCCGTTCTAGTGCTTACCCACCAGATCTCAGTTTTTATCACACTGTACCACTCTAATGTCAGTGAATTAAAGCTCACCAAAAACACCTTCTGCTAAGCAAGTTTTACGAGTATTCCGGTCGATTTTTTTTTATTTTTATTTTTTTTTTGAATGTAATCTAATGTACATACATACATATGTACATATGTACGCATGTTTTCTAAAACTTCTACGCCTGTCTAATTGCCTGCCCATAACTAAGTGTACTCATTACTATGTATTTATGCATAATCAATTATTCAATATCGTCATTGCAATTATCACATTGTCTGCTTACAACTATAACAAATGCCTGACATACGCCCCCAAATAAAGATAACATACATATGTACATACAGCCCTGCTTCAACAACCCCCACACTGTCGCTTGGTATTTTAATTTGGCACATGTAAGCGCAAACTTGGCAATATGTCGCCATTTTTTCTTTTTTGCTATTTTATTTTATTTTTCAAAATATGTACATATAACATCTTGCGTGCACATTACATGTAACTTAATATGAGCTCGGCAGTTAGGCAATAGTCGGACAGTGTACAGTCGTGTGCAATCACATTAGTTGCTCGATTAGTCACGTCACTCAGTCAGCCAGTGTATTGTCCAGCCTAAGCGCGCCGCAAACATGCAAACATGCTTGCGTCCAGCTCAAATGTCTTTGGCCAAGCCTCTGCGCTTGCCGTATGTTGCATGAATCAGTGAATCAGCAGCCCTCTGTGGCGTCGTTGAAAATTAATTCACACACGCGCGCGCCACTCACTTCATTGCATGCTTGAGATTGTCTCATACCGCTGAGATAATCAAGCTTAGCAATGCTCATACT